GAGAGAGAGAGAGAGAGAGAGAGAGAGAGAGAGAGAGAGAGAGAGAGAGAGAGAGAGAGAGAGCTGTATGTTTGTCCGAAGCGGCAAACACTGTGCCCGTAGACGGCTTACTGCTGCGTGCCACCTGAGCTGTCTGCCCGACCTGCAGATACACCGCAGAACATTCGCTGTTCTGTTTTCTTTGTTTGCATGTAGCAGCATTTAAACAGCAGCAGCTGAGGGCATCCGTTCACTCCAACTGGCGAGTAGACGGGGTAGGAGCGCAGAGGCGTCCCACTTAAATAAAACAGCATTATTATTATTATTATTATTATTATTATTATTATTATTATTATTATTATTATTATTATTATTATTATGCAATACGAAAGCATTCGATTATTATATTCTACTAATAGTATATACTATAAAATGCTACACTGTATCACATTACATTGCATTGTGCTATTATACTATATTATATTTAAGTATAATGTATTATACTTTATATTATATCATATGGGATTATGATATATTACATTCGTACTGTATTATATTGCAATACATGTTATTATACTAGCTTTTATAATGTTACATTGTCCTCTGGTCTATTTTACTCTATTTTTATTGTTAGTTTATCCTTTTTTCTTATAGGCCACTCACCACTTGCCCGGACAGACGATCCAAGGCGTACAGTTTCCGAGTTCAACTGTCATGGGTTTATTAAATATTGGCTCAGCTGGAGGCGAAGGAGGAGTCGGCTGGCCCCAAATAATGCGGTAGGCGCTGGAGGCGGCCCCTGTACATACACCGCAAGTACGCCGCACTCCGTACATTGTACAGTGTACACGGATGATATTTACAATGTCATGGCATTAGGTACGCTGTGATATGCCTTCAAAATGAGGCAGCTGCGGCAGCAGCAACAGCAGCAACAGCAGCAGCAACAGCAGCGACAACAGGTTTACGCTGTGCATGCAGAAAAACAGTCAAATTAAAGGTATTTATCCGTTCCGAAATAGATTTTCCTATAGGTTATTCTATTATTCCTTCTTAAGGTGTAGCTCCACAGAAGTGATTATATACGACAATTAGCTATTAACCAGCTATCAATCATGGGGATAAGAATGCTGGGGACGGTGCTAGCGCATGCTGGGGTGTATGCACGTATGCTGAATCTTTGCTGCTAATGCTTTACCCGTCATAAACCACTTCTCCACCTCTGGGTGATTAAGAAGGGCCATTCCTTCTTCTACTCCACCAAATATAAACGCCGCGTAGTCGTTCTCAACAAGAGGAGCAAATATTTTATTTAAAGGCTTCATTAACTTCGAGTTAAACGGACTCACCTACACGCACCCAGCAAAGAGAAACCCTTCTCTTACGGTGTACATACACCGCAGCTTACCACCTCCACTCTTTGTTTTTTGCTGCACTCAGCAGTGCCATAAAAACCAAACAGCAAATATATCTTCAGACAGATTTCTTAGTTAAGCACTGAGTGGAGAAGAGAAATGCTTCTAGGGGCATCAGCACAAATGCAGAAACCAAGAAAAAGACATAACTCAATCGGCGCTCTACACCTTCCGGTGCAGTGGCTGCGCTGCTCTGCGGTGTATGTACACTGGGGTCTCCGCTGTGGAGTGTCTCTACAGCTGGACACAGCATGGATGTTTTAAAGGGAAGTAAACAGAGCCCCTCATTACCTTGTAGACGCAAACTTTGTTTTCTATGAACAAAGACGTCAACAAATCCACGGGGCCGTCGACTGCAGATCAGAAAGCAGAGAAAACGAGAGAAAGAAAGAAACAAATGCAAAAACGGAGACAAGCTGCAACAAAAATAAAAATAATGAGGAAGTATCTATTAATAATAGTAAACAATAATAAACACGTAGTATTAATGTGCTTGAAATATATAAGTGTACATATATATATATATATATAAAAGAAACTAAAGAAGAAAATATCACAAACACAACGCTCAGCTTCTTCGCTTCCTCCTTGCTGTGTACGTACAGTTTCCTGCTCCCAGAACTGCCGACACTCCTGCTGGCCTCAGATGAATCATTTCTTGTTCTACAGGGCCCTCCACCATCAGCTCCATTGACCCACACGTTACCAATGTCGAGTGCAGCAGGCCTTTAGGACCCACCTATACAGGGAACAAACAGCAGCAGCAGCAGCAACAGTAGCATCAACAGAAACAGCAAAAGCCACAACAGCAGCATCAGCTTTCCAAGTTACAATGGGGCTCCGGCGAGGGTGTGAACGGGTATAGAGAGGATACACCGCAAGCAGGAAGCAGCAATGAATAATTGTCATAATGAGGGTCATCATCACCATAATAATAATAACTGTCATCATCAATTAATTGAAAGAATGTAAATAATTACCTTCACGAAATATCTCTGAGGTTCTCCTTCAGGGGTCGGCGCTTCCTTCACTTGCAGGGGCTGCGGGGGGGCCCCTGTCTTAACGATGGATTCATAATATTCTCTCAGAATGCCCAGCCAGTTGCTGATCAGCTGCAGCAGCACCCGCAGCAGTACCAGCAACCCATCAAGCTGTACGTACGACTGTGAGTGTACATACACTGCAAGTGAATGAAGGGGCTCAGCGTACAGACGCCCACATGGTAGAGAAGGGCGCCAGCGATCTCTAAGCCGCTACAGCGCCCCCTCTCTTCTCCAGAGTTCCTGCACACTGCCCCAAATCTAAAAGAGAAAAAATGCTGAAGAAATCCTTAGGGCGGTTTAATGGACCTAATGAGAGGCCGGTCGTTAACGATCTGCATATTCTGAAATAACCGTGTGGGGAAACGAGACAAAACAAACAACTGCAACAACAAGAAGAAGAAAGACTCAGTGAACATTTGGTGTTCAGGGTGAAGGTGTACGTACCATTGCTGAGTGCAGCCAGTGTGCAGCAGTAGATGCGTTCTGCAGCACAGATAAGTCGTCGCTTTCAAGAGCGGCATAAGAAGGAGAAGAGGCACCACCATCTCCGTCACGTTTAGAGATAGAAGCTGCCTGCAACTCTTCGCAGTTTGCATCCAAGTTGTCCATTAAAATATCTAATATTTCAAGTTTTCTTTCGGGGGAAAGAGAGGCCCATTCGTCCTTTTTCGCCGCCACCCGCGACACTACGGAGCCTATGTCCGTGTTTGAAGACATTTTAGCAACAAGATAAACAGAGAAGGTCGCGGTAACCGCAGATTTCTAATTGAGGAAACAACAAGAAAGCAAGCTCAAACGAAAGCTGGATGTCGGCGGCGCTAGGACCCACAGAGTCAGCTCTGTTTTCCTGGAAAGCAAAAGAGAAGGTAAATGAGTGAAGATATTATAATTGAAATAGTTTTTCCTTCAGAAGAAATGTCAATAAAGTCGCACAGCCACAGCTGGATGCCAGCCGTCGGGCACACAAGGGTTGGAGTGTAAATACGAAGGACTTAGACCTACAACGGTTGAAAGAAAGGTAAAACGAGCGGTAAATAACCCAATTAAAGGGAAAATGAATTCCTCTTTTGTTCCTTTTTACGCGTCTTTTTATTGCTTTCACCTCAGCTGGTCAGGGGCGGTGGGAACCGGCAGTAATCATCATCGGTTTCGGCGTTGTTGTAATGCACGCGCACTCCACTAGGCTCTCTACTGAGCGTCTAGCGGCGTATTCCTGAGAAGAGCACGATATTAGGCGATATCAGTATTCAATAAAACTCATTTAAACAGCAACTGTGAAGAACGGCGTTACAAGAGCACACAGCCCTTGGGGGCTGGCTGGGTAGCAGAGGCGATTTAGGGGCGCAGGCAGCAGTAAGCTCTCTTTCGGCTCTTCCTTTATACATTAGTAAACTAGGCTTCTGTTTCACATCTGTTATCTAGTTATTTAGTTCATTTCCCAGAGGATTCGCTCGGTCTGGCGAATAATATAGAGTGTGCAGCGAAATACGTTTGTATGAGGAACACATAGTAACTAACGGATGGGAGTGAATGCAGTGCACTACAGCTATGGTCTTCATCGGTCTTGAATAAATGCATGCCCAGCTAAAATACTAAGGGACAGAGTTTTAAATGAGTATTTAAATTGTTTTAATTTATTTTTTTATTTAAATTCGAGTAATTAAGCAGCTTCCCCCCCCAGACAGCAGATACGCGCTGCTCCTGCTGGATGGCGTTTGTGTTGCATGCGACGAATCGGCAGCGTCGTGACTTCATTTGTTTTTCTCCCAATTGCAATTTTGTATATTTATTTATATTTTTAGAGGTATTCGAGTAAAAGGGGGGTGCGCCGAGCACTTCTTATTCATCTTCTTTCTTGCTGTTTGCTGCTGCCGCCGCTGCTGCTTCTGTTTCTGCCTGATAGAAAGCATTTTCAAGATGGATATCGCAGCGTCCGTTGCGTCTGCCTCTGCAGCTTCGAGCGGTTTGGGTGGTTTGCGCGATGTGGCGGCATTAGATGGGGATTTGTTGAACAGTTCTCTCTACGACGGCTTGAGCTCCTCCGCTGCTGCTGCTGCTACTGGTGTTGGCGGTCGTGCTGCTGCTGCTGCAGCAGGAGGCCCTCCTCCGTCTGCATTTACTGCTCCGCATCCGCTTGAGCTGCAGCAGAAGCGGTATCTGCATGCGCTGGAGGAGCAGGAGCTGCGGCGTGCTGCTGCTTCTTTTGGGGTCCACGCTGCACTACGACTGAAGACAGAGAGAGAAATGTGTGCAACGACCCAGCGGCTTCCGGGTCTTTCTTCTTCTCTTTGGGGGCTGCAGGTGGTGATGGGGTTAGATGATCAAATCCTCGCAGAGGATTACTTAGGCAGAGAGAAACCAGAAGTTGAGGGCGGCCCCATGCTGACTGTACATGACCGCATTGAACGCGCAATGGGCATTTAAAGACCCAGCAGCAGTGGAATATAAACAGAGAAAAGAAAAGTTATTCATATGCACAAGGCAGACAGACATGACGGACGGACGGTGGGGCGCATTTGTATGGAACATCGCCGCGTGCAGCAGCAGCTGCAGCAGCAACTGCAGTAGCAACTGCTGCATTAGGCGATGTTCTTATAAGCAGCAGCAGGGGTAATAGACAGCGCCAGCGGCCATCTGTCTGTATTTCATGGAGTGGGGGAAAGGCCGATCAGCTGTACGTACACCTGGGGAATTGGGAGGGCTTTTACGCTGAGAAGCCCAACCTGCGACGACAGTCTATCTTTTTAGTTATTTATTCTTTTCTTGCAAATACAACCTAAAAGTTGTGCCTAAAGATGTTGAATTCGGTGTACAAACGGCCGACATATTTCCTCTTTTGTCATTCCAACTTTCTTCTTCCACATCATTTGTTGTTTGTTACTTTCTATTTATTATTTATATATTATTATTATTATTACTAATTATTATTATTATTATTGGTTCTTTAGGAGCCGTACACTTCAATCAGAATTCTATGCTGTCACTTTGTTAGGCCGACTGAGGGCTGGGGTTAGTTTAATTATGCGGAGGGTCGTAACTATGTGTTTGCATTGGGGACAAATTAACAATACTCAACATGTCTACACTATACATCTACGAGGTGTACATCCACTAAAACAGTATATCTGCGAGTTATACATACAGTACAATATTACAATATCGCGGCCTACGCATAATACAATGCTGCATCTACGAGGTGTACATACACTGCAACAAGGAGCTGACTGCATGCGCATTTGCCTGTGGCTGCAGCAGCTGCAACACCAGCAGCTGACGGCTTCTGCAGAACACTCGATAGAAGCTTATTTGTCTTTGCTATGTTTCGTTCGTCTTTGCTTTTCTCTGCCTCTTGTGAGCAACAGGACGCCGTCAAAGACGCATGCGAGAAGCAGCAACAATCGTATCTCGGTGTCGCTAATGATATCGAATTGCATTTTCAGTAGTGCTGAGCCGATGCTGGAACAAACAAACTAAACAAGTCATGAAGGTGTTCCTGGTTTGAGGAGGGATATCAATGCATGCACGCATGCACGTACACACTGTATGTACAGCGTGTTTGCATGCACTGTCGTTTGCAAACAACACATATCGCAGGTTAGTCTCTCGTGAATGCGCGCTTTATCAGCGGCAGCCGCCGACATACATACATATATATATATATATATATATATGTATCTGTAAGGCATACCTATTGAAGTAATATAATATATATATATATATATATATATATATATATTATGTACATATATATTGCTGGTATATGTATAATATACAGTTAATATATTAATATATAATATTATAAGATGCATGCATCTATTAGATGTTCTCATAGTCGAGTTTGCTTTCAAGTTTTTTGTTTTCTGCGATTTTTCGTGCGGCTTTAAAGAAGTCCTCTTCAATGACGTAATCTCGGTCGGCGCGGATTGCGAACATGCCTGAAGACGAACGAACAAATGTTAATACATAGTGCAAGATGAATAAGTATAAATCAGCATAAATTAATATCAATAAACGCTAATAAAGGTATATATATAAATATATATATTCCTGAATAATAAACCCATCGTATGTTATACACCACCTACCGGCCTCCGTGCAGACATTCCTCAAGTCGGCGCCATTAAAGCCGTCGCACAGCCGGCAAATCGCTTCGAAGTCTGACAACAGAAAACATAAATAAATAAATAAATAAATAAATGGGCATACTTTTAAATAAAGTAGAAAAATAGATATACTAATTAATAGGGAAAAGCCCTTGTCAAAGCCGTGTACGAACACAAAAAACAAAAAATAAAACAGAACGTCTGGCTGTTGCTTCGCCAAGTTGTTCATTGGTCTTTCAATTTGCTTGCAAATTGCAAATGTGCATGGGGTATAAAATATTTCTTACTAAAAATCGAACAAATATACGCTGCGTTATATTAATACAATAATCCACTGTTATTCATATATTGATTTTGACGGATTATTATTATATACACTTTAACGCACTATTATGATGATGCACATTTTAACGCATTTTCAATATACTACGCATTATAGAGTATTATTTTTATTATTCTGTGGGTAGTTGAAAAACGAGGAAAGCAAAGAAGAAGAGAAAATATAATAATTGTATTTGGGCTAACCGATGTCGCCTGTCTTTGCTATTTTGCTCGAATGAATTTTTAAAATGTCAATGCGTGCGCTTTCGTTAGGCATTGGGATTTCAATCTTTCGGTCTGAAGACAAAACACGGGACAAAACAAAGCTGTATGCATGCATCTGCATATGCTGCACACACGAGCACATGTATGCATGCAGATGAGGGGCAGCGAGCTGCCGTATTTGAAAGTATAAAAGTGGAAGGACAATCATATCATTCCCTTCTAATCAAACAATAGGCATGTGCGAGACTCTGTTATCTATACACCCCAAACTGCTGCTGCAGCACAGCTGGAGATCGACCCCCATGCATCGCCACTCCCCTCCCTCCCCCCCCCAATCTGTTGAAGCAGTGCTTAGAACAGCAGCAGCAGTGACAGCAAACAAGAGCAGAAACCAGAAGCAGCAGCAGTATCAGCAGCAGCAACAGTTCCCCTAGCAGCAGGAGCAGCGCCAGAAGCTACGCACCAAGGCGCCCCGGCCTCATGAGTGCGGGGTCTAGAACGTCGGGTCTGTTTGTAGCCATGATGATTTTCACCTGCCCCAATTCATCAAATCCATCCAGCTGATTCAGCAGCTGCACATTAACAGAAAAGACAGAAGAAAACACAAAACACGAATAAAAGAAGAAAAGGACAACTGCATAGATGCACAAACTACGCGAAAATACACCTTGTTGTTCACAGCAGCACGCGTAACAACTCGGGGAAATAGCACTGTGTAATCCAACTAGAACATACACACAAGGGAAGGATTCAATCGTGCTGCTGCTGTTGTCAGGACCACAAGGAATATTCAGAAAGGACATGAAAGGAGAGAAAAGCCAGGAGCGTTAAACACGAACTTGGAAAATAACAAACAAAAGAGACACAAAACAAGAAAATGCAACTGGAGGGAAGGAAGATATCGAGGAAACGAACGGAAAAGGCAAACGAGAAGAACAAACTTGTGTTAGTGAAGATGTGAACGCGATGCACACAAATCAAGCATTTGAATTATATTAAAAACAAAAACTCAACTCTCCATAAAGAAGAATCAACAGTCAAGTTGAAGCAAACTTTTTGAAACTGTACTTTAAAAACACTCACCACTTGAATTTGACTTAGCACTTAAATCAGGTTAAAATAAAGCAAACCAACTAAACTCAGCATTTAAAACAAATTAAATTAAATTAAATCAAACATTTAAATCAACTACTTTAATTAGGTAAGCTTACCTCCATGAGCGTTCTTTGAATTTCACGATCTGCTGAAGTCCCTTGTGAAAATCTGCGGCCTCCGATGGCGTCGATTTCGTCCATAAAGATGATGCAGGGCTGATGATCCTTTGCATATCCTGAAAAGAGGGGGGAAAAAAATATATGAAAGTAAAGGCTTAAAATTCAACCTAAAATAAATGCGGCTACTGAGGTGTCTGGACAGACAAACATCTCCCGAGTGTACGCCCAGCTCACCGAACATTTCACGAATAACCCGCGCACTTTCGCCGATATATTTATCCACAATTGCTGATGCCACAACTTTCATGAAGTTGCAGCTCATGTTCGACGCCATAGCCCTAAAAAGAGGAAACAAATCATATCACGAGTGTGCCTCAAATACATGCAAATATATATTAATTCAAATTTGAAAATGTATATAAAAATATACGTATAAATCATATAAAGATAAATAGATGAATATAAAAATATAAATGCGTATTGACGAACAGTATATATGCTGGTTTGCGCGGTAGCCTCGAGGCAAAGAACGAGGCGGGAAGAAGAAAAAGATAAAAATCCACTTTGAGCAATCTCATAAGAAAAACCATCAGGATCGAATAAAGAAGCGCATCAGAATATCTAATAAGCAAAATAGTAATCATATTATCGATACGTATCAAATGACCTAATAAAGGAAAACGTAGAAATCTCATCCATGCCATATCATAATTTCCTTGAAAAGCAAATACTATCTTCAACATAATAATCAACTAGAGACGCCTTGTACATCGTAGAGAAAAAAAAACACAACAACCCCTCACCTTGCTAAGAGCGTTTTGCCTGTCCCGGGGGGCCCGTAAAGAAGAACTCCTTTTGGTGTTTTTATTCCTACGCGTTTAAAAAGCTCCGGATTTGTTAGCGGCAACTCCACCACTTCTCTCATTTGTCGAATTTGTTCGCTTAATCCCCCCACCTCTGAATAATGAACATTTCCGGGGTCTTCGTGCAGCATATTAAACACCAAAGGATCCACTTCCCGCTGTAAACGCCGCATCACCGTCAGCGTCGTCATATCCTGCAAACATGCAAACGAACAAACGAAGAAAATATCTTCCAAGCACACGACTCACCCGTTTAAATAAAAAGGAGAATGCTTCTATGATGCATGTGTTACTGATATATGATGGACTGTTGCAATGCGTCTACATTATACTACATGTATATATATATATATATATATGTGTGTGTATAAGTAGTGTACATTATTATTTGTCTTTGATTGGTAAGACAATTCGACAGACACCCGAATGCAAACACGCTTCATTTCATTGCCTTAAGCTTTAAGGGCAACCCCGGCAGAAATAAAACCCTAAACCCTAAACCGCAGATTAATCTTACCAGCGCCACTCGCGTTCCTGCTGTGAGAAGCGATTTGTTTAGTTTGGGTTTGCTGCCGACAACGTAGCGGGGCCCACTGGAGGTCTTTACGATAACTGCATGCACCAGGTGAAACAGCAGCAGCAGCAGCAATAACGGCAACAGCAGCAGCATGTCCTGTTCTTATACATCCCTCTGTTCATACACGACCACTAGCAGCAGCAACAGTGGTAGCAACAGCAAAATGAGAAACAGCAACAGCTGCAATAGCAACGCACATTTCTCTGAGTCCAGCTGCCGCAGCACCTCCCCAATTAGCTGGCCGACTCCCTGAAGCGCCTTTAGGTCATCTTCTGTTTTTTCGTATTTCTTTGACTGCAGTTTTGTTTCTTCTCTCACTGCATGCACAAAAGCAGCAAAAAATAAACTCTCTACAGAAATCTGCCGACGCAGCTACCTGCCCTACTGCGGCTTCTGCTGCTCTCCCTCATGGAGTGCTCGTCAACTGTTGCTGCTGCTCTTGCGGCTGCTCGTCGTTCCTGCTGCTGTTGCTATTGCAGATTCTGGTGGTTGCTGTTACTGCAGTTGTTGCTGTTGCTGCTTTTCGTGTTTGTTACTGCTGCTGCCGCAGCTACTCGTGGTTGCCGCTGCTCTTGCTGTAGCCGCCGCTGCTGCAGCCCCGCCAGCAGCAGCAGGAAGTCGTGAGGAACTCACGTTTCTTGACTCTGGCTGCCCATTCTCTGTGTTCTTTGACTTTGGCTACGTACGCCCGAAGGGCTCGCGCCCTCTCCTCTGACTGAGGATTCGCGGGGGCCCCAGCACTCGGCTGGTTTGTCATGTTTGGGGGGGGGATGGTAGGGGGGAAGAAGGGGTGAGGAAATAGCGAAGGAGGGGTGCTTGGGCTGCTGGTTCTTTCGTTTGTTTATCTGATGCTTCTACCGTTTTTTGTTACTTCGTTTTAACGAATAAAGAGGCCGTCTTCAGACCTCCATGCAGCCGCCTGACAGCACAGCGAATATCATTTCGCAGGAAGGACAGAAGTGATGATAGAAAACAGCGCACCCTGATCGTCTTCCCTCGACTGTTACCTTTCTATACACCGCATATGCATGCAAAAAAAGTCACAAAGAATGATATTTTCAGATCAAAGTAAGGGAAGAAAGCACTGGATATGAAGTACAAGGAGTAGCCGCATGCAGACACCAGAAAACCTAGTTGAGGTCTAAGCAGGAGTAAACGAAGGCTGAACCCGCATCAAACTGCAGCAAGCACAAAATATTGAATATTTGCCGGAGCGGATCGTCTGAGAGGGAGAAGAAACAATAATTATAATATGCACAGAGGTTGTCAGCACAGCCAGGCGGCGCAGTAGAGCAGCGGCAGCTGATTTTAGACTTAGATTCGAACCCCCTATAAATTAAAATAAAAAGAAGAACTAAATAAAAGAATTTAGTGCTTTGGGAGTTGAACGAATGAAGAGGAAATGCAAAAGAAGAGCTGCCGATGTATTTGCGTCAACGCGCTCACCTCGACGCTGGCCTGTGAATTGAACGGAAAATTATCAAAAAATGTGCAGAGTCTTCTGAATAATTACAATTTATTTGAAACATTCATGAAGAAATGCAATGCAAAACGCACAAAATGGCTTTCTAAGTACAACACATCACAGCATGCACGTCGGCTGCGTTGTGAAGCCAGCAGGGGCTGAAGGAGTTGCGGCGGATTTAAATAGATTTATTTTCAGTTTCAAATAGTATTTTTATTTGCAATTGTTTTGTTATTTCATTAATAATGCATTCAAACAAATAACGCCATTGCACGAGAGCCCCTTCTATGACCACTTTAGCCTTGCAGTTGTTGCAGCAAGTCTGCTGATGCAAGTTTAAGGAGTTATACTTGTTTTGTTTATGCCGTTGTTTATTCATTTTTTAAGAAATACAAACAATTTACTTTGCGTTTTTCTTCTGTCTTCTCTAATTCTGTGCTCTGTGAAAGGGAGAGAAGACAGTATTAATTTATTTTACCCTTGAAGCCTCTCCATTCTTCTCTTCGAAGAATTAAAACATAACAAACGCATGCATGTTATATACATTTATTAAGCATTTCCTCTGAATTATCCGGTTTATCTGGGCCTTCCTATTAGTTGAAGTCTATCATCCCTATGCTTATAAAGTAGGGCCTTTGTGTTTTCTCTCTTTCTGTTTCTTGTATGATCACGTGCTTAGGCTTTAAAAGAAGGGAGAAGAAAAGACAAAAAATAAGCGAAGAGAGATCAAACACACTAAATAAAAATAAAAATAAAGTAATTAATAACAGTTATAATAAGGCGGTACTACTATCAGAGAAAAGCGGCAACAGAGACAGAAAAATGCAAATAGAAGAATTAAGACGCTGTGCTTTTGTTGGTTTCCTTTATAATATCTCCTCAAATAAATACATAAAGAACATTATTTGTCTTTTTTGCTCTTTTGCTTCATTTGGTTTATTAACCAGTACTCGCCTATTAATATTACGCTGTTCGGCATTTCTTTGCAAATAAAATGCTTTGTTTCATATACTGCAAATTAATTTTTTAAAACAAAATACTTAAATGTCTGTTTTTACTTTCATCAGTCACTTATTAGCTGAAGTGATTCTTTTATTCAAAATACTTAAGCCAAAATTCTGTCTTTTCGCTAAACATTTCATCTATTTGATTAAACACAAGAACAATTAAATAATTAAAAAATAAATATTTAATCTCTTACCAAATCTTTCATCCTCTCGAAGATTAACTTCATCTTTCTTGCAAATGTTTGAGCTTTTTAATCAAATGTTTGATATTTTCAATTAATAATTTAATCTTTCTTCATTGCGTCCCTTTATTTGCATCTTTTCAATTAAATGTTTCATCTTTTTAATCAATTATTTCATTTTTTAGTTAAATGTTTTATTTTTACCCAATATTTTGTCTTTTTTATTAAATATTTTATCTTTGCCTGACGGTTGGTTGCTGAGGAAGGCGGGAGTCAACTAATATTTATTACTTTTTTAGTAAACAGTTCACCGTATTATTTATTATTATTATTTTTTTTATCTTTTCGCTGTCGTTTGTTTAACAAATAACAGGACTAAGACAAAACAGAGCGTTGACTGTTGCAAGCGTAAAAAGAAATAAAACTTTTTTCTTGCATTTTTCAGCTCCGCGGTAACCATATTAGTACATGCTTGCAGCTACCTCACGGTATTGAGTTTTATATATATATATATATATATATGTATGTATATATTAGCACAAAGAGGGCTTTGCTAGCTGCTGGCTAGTTGGTAGCTAGCTAATTCCTACCAGCCTTCTTCCTTGATTCTTTTTTCTATCTTTTTATGCTGTATTGTTTTCTTCACTGTTTCTTCTTTATTGAGATTAGTAAAAAATGCAGTTATTATTTGTATATACTCTCTACAGACTCAGGAGCCTTTAAGCTTGCCTGACTGAACCCTCACCACAGCTGGCAGCCTCTTCTTTCTCTTTGTTGCTTTTGCTTCTTTATTCTTATTTTAATTCTTTTTAAGCACCTTCTGCTACCGTTTGAATATGACGATGGGGGGCGCGGTGGCTTTAAAGTGTTTATTATTCATTAAACAAACACAAAACAAAAAGCTAATAAGAAAACTATTTCAAAGTAATCAGTCAGCACCGCTCAATTGCCATGCATTCGCGGTAGCTGGCTTGCTAGGCGGTAGCTAGCTAGCTAGTTGGCTAGCTAGCTATTCAGCTAGCTTGCCAGCTAGCTATTAGACCGTTCTGCTTGTTAGAGAGCGCATGACGAAGAGAAACAGGCACAGTGAAACTCTAAACAATAGCCACTGCAGAGATATCTAAGTGGAGTCTTTGTTTTGTTTTGTTTTGTTTTGTTTGGTGGGGTTTGTTTTGTTTTGTTTTATTCTGCTTTGTCTTAGTCGTGATGTTGAAGATGAAGATACAGAGAACAGCACAACCCAACGAATGCAAACAAACTCCTGTGCTGTGCGTTCGTCTCTGTTGTCTCATTCACTCTTTTCTCTTGTCTACGCTTGGCAATTTTGTTGAAGTCCCCCAGTAATACAAAATGTGCATAACAAACCTCTTTGCATGTCTGGTTTCCGTAAGATACGGCTAAATAGATAAAATCGTTGCGCGAAAATTGAAAAAAATGAAGCAAAGTCGTTTCTTGCAGTGACGTCACTGACTAATCGTCTAAAGCGATAGGCAGTGAATTCTGTGCATTAAGTGGAGGCTTTGAAAATAAATTAATTGCCTCTTCTTTATATCTCGAGGGCGTTTGTCTTGAGATGCTGTTTGCTGCTGATGCAGCGCAAGCAGAAAGAGGTGTCCTTTCATCGCACTCCAGTATAGAAAAGAGGCGTCGACTTTTATTTTACCTATTTGAGCTCGCTATATCGTCAACAAGACTGTTGGAGGAACGGGTAATTTCAAGAAAATTCAGCTGATGTGCGCTTCTTGCTTCGTGAATTTGCTGCCCTCGTGTACATATATTGCTATTTTCTGTTCAACTTATTATTATGTTAGAGAGTAAATCCATGCATTGTGCCTAATTAATTCCCTCCTGCAGCAAGTTTCATTGCAAGACCGCGGAGGTCGCATGAAAAGTCGGCTGGGCTACTTAAAACGTGCAGAAGAGAGTTTGATGAATACCTAGGGGCATAAATTTCAGTGAAATATTGTTATTTGCAAATTAATAGAGCAAAAACACTGAATTAACCTCACATTTCCGGTTTTTGTTGAATGCAACAAACCATTGGTACGGTGTAGAGACACTCTGAGGTCTTGGGCTCTGCTCGGCCTCATCGCATCGCATGTCTGCTGGGCTTCGCCCCTCTGAAACTTTTTTTTCTTCTTTTTGAGTCATTACTTGTGTTTTCAATGTTTTGCTGGGGCAATTCGATTAATATTTCTCGAAACTTGAGCCGCTTGGCTCGAGGCAGCATCCGTCTTTCTTGTTTAGCAGTCGATGAGGAATGGCCAGTGGCGGCGGCGGCTTCAGCTGAGAATACGAGAAGCGGAGAGGGAAAAGGGCTATACAATAAATTAGAAAAAGCCCATGAAGGGAAATAAAGCAATGAAATTGCAATTTCAAGGCCGGGAAGGGTCTGGAGAGGCTGATGATGAGACCTGTGAACTCGACGGCGATGGCAGCAGTGTACAGCGCAAGGAAACAGCAGAAAGCAACACAGTAAACCCAACAGGCCCTTCGCCTCCTTCTCCTTTCGATACTGCAGGATGGTGTAGCCGTTTATTTTTCCGCTGGCTGAACGACGTGACTGTGCGGTGTCTGCACGGGTCTATAGACCCTCAGGAGCTGCCTTCACTGAAGCAGGCAGACATAAAGGAGATGCACAAAGGGCCTCTCGATGCCTCTCTTCTGACTGAAGAGCTGCATCATGCAAAGCCCTCCATATTGAGGGCCACTCTGCGTCAGTTCTGGAAGCCAGTTGTCGTTGCAATGCTGTGGGCGATGGTGAAGGAGATACTCAGCTTCGGTAATACTCTTCTTCTAAAGGAAATCCTGAGAGAAGGAGAAGAGACACAGCAGGACTCCTGGAAACAAGGTCAGGAAGCAGCCGGCAGTTTCTTTCTACTCTCAACACACCAAATAATAATCAATATAATGCTTCTCGGTTTACTTGCTTGCGCTGCAACACATACAGCAACAGCAGCAGCAACAGCAACAGCAGCAGCAACAGCAAAATCAGCAGCAGTCAAAACAGCGTCTTCCGCCGGGCTTTTAATTTTGATGTATTTGCTGTTTGCATTTTGTTTGTTTTCTTCCTTTGTTTGCTGTTGCAGGCCTACTGGCAGCAGGGACCCTCTCTGCTGTGCAGCTGCTTCTCGTGTGTATGGACAGCCACTTAGATTTCTACACGTGTAGAATATCAATTAGGGTGGAGGCGGCGCTCTTAACTTCTATTTACAAGCGATTGCTGCATGCAGAGAGTGCACGCAGCCCTGAACTTGTCATAGTGAGGAGGAGCCCATACACCCGAACTACTGGCCGAAGCACCGCAGAGGAGAAGAAGAAGAAAGCAACAGAAGCAACAACAAGCACAACGCCTCTCTATCCTGAGAGAGAAGACAAGAAGGGAGCTATATTCAATATTGTCTTCGTTGATATTCCTTCAATTGCAGAGATGGTGATGGCCTCCGTTGATCTTCTTCTTCTTCCTCTTCGTATAGGGCTTGCTGCTCTTTTGCTGGCTACGCAGGTAAGAAGGAGATGCATGCAAATGAATGCCTCTTTCTTATTCTTATTATTATTATTTTTCTTCTCTATCTTCTCCTGCAACAAATAAGAGTACTTCGAAGCCGACAGTGGCAGTATAAGTGCTATTGAAGCACCACAGGTAGCAGTTATAAGTAGTATTTAATATATGATAAGTATATTTATATTTATTATTGCACTTTATTATATTATATTGTATTGTATTGTATTGTATTGCACTGCAGTGTCTATAGAGTGATATTGGGCTGTACAGCGCTGTGGTGTACTTTATACTGTACATTATTACTATCATTCCCATTATTATGTATAATAACATATATATAACATATATTATCATACTTCGGTATGATATTACACGCACGTGTATTATATATCAAATATGACAGCACTAGCAATAGTATTATTATATTTCGTGATGTCCTGACTGAGACGTTTGCATATTTTTATACTTTTGCATCGCTACGTATATATATAATATATATATACATATATATATATATATATGTTATACGTATGGGTACATAGAGAGATATGTATAAATATATGTATTTAAATAGATATATATGGTGGGTGTACATATACAACGCATATTAAACATCTCTTTGCACTTCTAGGCAAGTGCTATTTGTGTGGGTAGAAGGAAGAGAGAAGGTAGGAGAAGTTGTTAATATATACATTTATATAATATATATGCATATGTATCAACATGCATGCAAATATATATGCATATTATATATTATGTAATCTGCTGCTTTCGCTCTGATCGTTAATAGCATAAGGATGAGGCGCTACAATTCTTTTTTTGTGTTGTTTAGGTGGGCGTTCACTGCATTCCGGGTGTATTGACGCTTGTGTTTATTGTTTTATTTGCTATTTGCATTGAGACCTACAACAGCTTTTTAAAGATACCCTTTATGGTAAGCATTTCCTGCTGCTGGCTGGTTTGTCTTCTCTTCCTCTTTGTTTTTTCTTTGTTTTTCTCTGTCATATTAAACTGCTCTACCGTTAGCAATAAACATCACTGCACTCCCGCTGTCTGCTTCTTACGCTCACCGATAGCAGGTGCTGCTGCTGGTGCTTACTTTTAATTAATGCCAGCAGCAACAGCAGCAGCAGCAGCAGCAACAGCAACAGCAGCAACAGCAGCAACGGCCAAAGCAACTCCTCTAGACGAAAAACGCAGACCCTAGCTACTAAACAACAAACCACACAGCAACAGAAACAGCAGCAGCAGCAGTGGAACAGCAGCACAAGAGCATAATAAGCTCAGAATCTACTGCTACTGCTTCATAGTACTTGCTGCTGTATAATAAATATAATGTGTAAAGGTCTGCACTGTTTGCAGGCTGAGAGAGACTTGCGGCTGGAGCGAAGCCACGAGTGTCTGAGTGAAATGCGTACGGTGCGGCTATTGGGGTGGGAAGACATCGCTGAAGGTTTGATAGACAAAGAAAGAAAAAAAGAATTAAGATGGGGCACCTGGCGAATGTACCTCTCAGGCCTCAGCTACTGGACAAGTGGAGTCGCGGGTTCGATTCCCACACAAAAATATAATTATATATATATATATTATTAAACAAATTACTCAACTTAAACCACTAACAACAGAAACAATGCTAATAACAACGCTATGTGTGAATAGACCTAACAAACAACAAATACAAAACACACGACTAAAAAAACAAACAAGAAACAAAAAACAGAAAGTCGTTCAGAATAAAAACTGCAGCTGCTAGCTCCACTTAAAAATAATGCAGCAAAGAAAAACCTGTCTTGTTGCTGTTGCTGTTGCTGTTGCTGTTGCTGCTGCTGTTGATGCTTCTGCTGCTGCTGACGATGTTGTTTTTACTGCTTCTGCTGTTGCTGCTGCTGCTGCTGTTGGTGATGCGCAGGAGCAGCTACATCTATTGGGACCTTCGCTGCTTTCACTTTTCCATTGATTAACGGCGGATCAGCGGTGAGTTATTGTTTATTTGTTACTTTTTGCTGGGGTGTATATGCAGGTAGTGGTGCATGCATTGCGCCTTCTCTAGCATACATGCATCTTCATCTATTTTCTTTCTTTTATATTTTTGCTGCTTCTTCAGCAAACAACAAATATGAAGGCTGAGTTGGTGATTCCTATCGTTCATGTGCTGGACAGCTTCGTGGGGCCCTTAGCAGACCTGCCTTATACTCTTTCTACTTTGATAGAAGGCAGCATTTCTCTCAACAGAATCCGCAGCTATATCTTTAAATCCCAGCCAGTCGCGGCGTTACCCCCTCCTGCTGCTGCTCCTGCTGCTGCTCCTGCTGCTGCTCCTGCAACGACAGGCCAGCAGCAGCTCGCCCCAGAGAACGAGCCGCTGCTGCACACTGTCACACGCGGAACAGGAGATGCTGATGATAGCCAGTTGCAAGAGCAGCAACAAGAGCAGCAGCAGCTCGATGCAGAATTGGTTCAAGTTTCCCGGAAGATGCTTGAGTACGACTTCTCCGCTGCGCGGGTTGTTTATTTGCTGCTGCTGATGCTGCGTTTGCTGCTGCTTCAGTTGCTGCTGCTCTAAGCGTTTCCTTTTTCCTGGTTATTTGCATTGAAGAAAATTTATTATTTGTTTTATTTTCGCTGTCTCTCCCCGCTGTTGTCTTTGATCTGCTCAGAGCTGTCAACGACCCCAACGTTAAAATCCGCTTCATCTCTGCTTCCTTCTCCTGGCAGCCTGCAGCAGCAGCAGCAACAGCAGCAGCAGCAGCAGCAGCAAGAGCAGCAGCAGCAGCAGCATATCCTTGCGGCGTTCCTCGTGTGTTGGTGTGCCCAGCTGCTGCTGAGGCGGAACTGCGTTTATCTCTGAAGCGAATAACTCTCGACATTAAGCGAGGTCAGACTGTCTTAGTTACGGGGCCCCCAGGCAGCGGCAAGACAACGCTGGTGCTTGCAGCAATACGCAAAGACACTCTGCACCTGACGGAAGGCGCAAAGTATATCAGTGGAGGCCTCGGATTAGACAACCAGCAGCACATCATCAGCAGCAACAGCAGCAACAGCAGCAACATCAGCAGAAGCTGGGGTCGGAGGCAGAGACATGCATCGGGTTTCCTTGCTGATCCTTCTCCTGCTGCTAGTGCTGCTGCTGTTGCTGCTGCTGGTGCTCCTGTAGGGTATGTGCCTCAGGAGCCGTGGCTGTGTGGAGGCACTGTTCGGGAGAATATAACGTTTGGAGAGTCTTTTCATTTCCCCACGTACACCGCAGTGGTGGAGGCTTGCGATTTAAATAAAGATTTTTGCGGCTGGGCGCAGAGAGATCTCCGCCTAATTGATGAAGGAGGCCTAGACCTCAGCGGCGGGGAGCGTGTCCGATTAAACATAGCTAGGGCAGTGTACAGCTGCAAAATGCATCAATATAAAACAAAACAACGATTTGCTGAAGCCAAGCAAATCAGCAACAAGAGGAAACGCGAGCTGGCGCAGACTCTCCGAGATGAGGTGTACAAACAGCTTCTCGCTCCTCCTCATGCTCCTGCTGCTGCTGCTGCAGAAGAAGGCAAGGAGTATCAACTGGGTGCGGAAGAAGAAGAGAGTAAAGATGAAGGGGAACAGAGAGAGGCTGAAGAAGAAGAGGAATGCTTTGGTTCTCTGCTTTGTTTTGATGAATGCTTTAATCACTTAGACCCAAATGTTGCTTGTCTTGTATTTAATAATCTCTTTGGCTCCAACGGACTCCTCCGCGACTCTGCTGTTCTCGTCGCCATAAACGACAGCTCCCTCATTGCAATTATGAAGCAATACGACGCCCTACAGGAGGCAAAACAACAGCAGCAACAGCAGCAACAGCCACAGCAACAGGAGCAGGAGCAGCAGCAGCAACAGGAGCAGCAGCATACATCAGAGTACGAAGGAATTTATTCGTCTGTTCCCTCTGCTAATCGCCGCATGCAAATTCATATTTGTCGTTTGGTGGAGGGCAGCATAACTTGGCAAGGCGACGCAAATGCCTTTCTGGGTTTAATAAAGAAGAAACGAGAAGAAGCAAAAGAAAAAGAAGAGAAAAAAGAAGAAGAAAAAGAAGAAGAAAAAGAAGAGGAAGAAAGCATGGAAACAATTGAAAATATTCTAGCGGCAGGAGAGGAAAGTCGCAGCAGAGAGAAAGAAGAAAAAGAAGGTGTAGATACACCTCAACCTTTAAAAGCAGACTCTTTATTTGAACCCCCTCATATTCCTCGCACTCTTCTCGCTGCTGAGGAAACCGCCAGCGGACTCGTAGCTTTCTCATCTTACATCTGGTGCGGCAAGCATTGATTCTGTTTGCTGCTGCTGCTGCTGCTGCTGCTGCTGCTACAGTTCGCTGCTTAGATGCTTCAGTGGCTGCTGTGGCTGTCAGCGCTGCTTCGTCATACGCCCAAGACCCTAAACCCTAAGCAGCCGCGAAGGGATGTCTTTGGTCTGTGTTTGAATTGAATGCCGGGCGTTTTGTTTTTGTAGCTGTTCTCTTCCTGATTCTTTTTACAAATTGATTAATTTATTTGTTTTGTTTATGCCCCTCTATGTCTGTCTCCTAATCTGTCTGTTTATTTGCTGCAGGTATTTGAAGCAGACGGGGTGGTTGTTGTCTATCTTCTTTTTTCTAGTGTTGTCTTTCGGAAGCATTTCTGATGTTTTAAGTGATTTGTGGCTGGCTCGCTGGACGGCCCTAGAAGACGGAGTAGAGACAACAGAAAAGGATTTACTCAACAGCAGCAACAACAGCAACAGCAGCAGCAGCAGCAGCAGTTCCTTTGCTCCGATTCACAAGCACTTCCTGCTCGTGTTTGTTGGGTAAGGAGAAGAAAGGAGGGGGGCAGAGGGGGCAGAAGAGGGTTGTTTGTTTAGGAATATGAATAATTCAAGCAAAACAGCTTCTTTCCTTGTTGTCTGACTGCGTGCAAATGAAGCTGTATCCGCCTGTCCTTGTTGCGCTGTATTTCATTTGTTTTCCATTTGTGTTTGTTTGTCTTTCGGGTGTATCTCCACAGGCTTGTGAGCGTTAATATGATATTCGAATTAATAGAAAAGATTATAGGTGCAGGGGGGTCTATGCAGGCAGCAACAACAATCCATACACAACTCTGGACAGCCGTTTGTAATGCTCCCATGTGGTTTTATGATTATAACACAGTGGGTCGCATATTAAATCGATTTGCAACAGACATTTCTATCATTGACTTTGGTATACTTCGAAGAATCGGCTTCTCCTTCACTGCTGCCATCTCTTGCGCACTTTCTGTAGGTAGAAACACAGAAAAATTTTGATTTGAATGCAAAGGAATATTCAATTAGTATTGTTTAGTCACCACACAAAGAATTTCCTCTGCTTTCCTCTTTAAATCGCTCTGAAACAGCGTTAAAAACCTTCATTTGCATTGTTTATGCGGTGTATGTTCTCTGCTCAGGTTGTTGTTCTAAGTATGGCGTGCTATTGGGTTATTCCCGTCTGGCCGTTTGTAATTCTTTCGGTTTATTTGTTGGTATTTCGATATTTTCGAAGTACTTCGAGAGAAGTACAGAGGGCCTCACTGATTTCTTTCTCTCCTCTTTGCAGCTGCTTCAGCGAAGTAGCGACGGGAAGCATTATTATTTCTGCTTTAAAGAAACAAAACTTCTTCGTTAAAGATATGATTTACCATCTCGAACTCTGTCAAAGAACAAAACAAACACAGTGGGGGTAGGCCGTTAAACAATCTCTTCATACACAGAACCTGATTCCTTAGAAGAATACTAATTGGATATGCGCAGTAATATCCTAATATTTAAACTAGCATTATCTAAATGATATAATCGTTACAAAAGTTTTATTTTCTAATACAGCATTATAGCTATTTGCAGCTTCCTTGTCTGTTCATTTATCTCCTCTCTTTATTTTATTCCCTTTCAAGCCAATCCCGAAATGAATTGTTATTAAAACGGCAAACAACACCTTATAAAAGAAATTTCAACCTGCATGCATGCGCTGTGCTTGTTATACGTAGAGTTAATTCATGGGCGTCAATCCGTCTGCAGCTGCTGCTCTTTCCTCTCGTTGTTTTAAATTCTTTTTTACCTCGTCTGTCGGCCTTGGCTGGAGAGAGCGCTTTTAATTTGGGGTTTGGGGGAGAAGGCGAGGAGACCGAAGCAGCAGCAGCAGCAGCTGCTGCTGCTGCTGCTGCTTCAGCACACAACATTGGCCTTGTCGGCCTGGCTATTTCTTATTCTCTTTCTATCGCTGGGGCCCTTCGGCGATTTCTTAGCAATGTTACTGCTATGGAAAGAGACATGTGTTCTGTGGAGCGAGTTCAGGTGCTGCTTTTCTTTCTTTCATTCTTTCTTTCTGTCTGTCTGCCTTTCTTTCTTTCTTTCTTTCTTACTCTTTTGGTTTCTTTGATTGTCTGTTTGCCCGTTTGTTTCCTTTCCTTCCTTGCATTTTCCCCCTTTCATTCGTTGTTTGTTTGTTTGTTTGTTTGTTTATTTGTTTGTTTGTTTGTTTGTTTGTTTGTTTGTTTGTTTGTTTGTTTGTTCGTTGGTTTTGCTCGCTTGCTTTTTCGTTTTTCTGTTCATTTGTTTAGTCTCGTCTTTGCCTCCTCTTTCTTCTTGCTTCCTACGAATCTTCCTCTTTGCTTAATTGCGTCTCTAGCCAGCAGTTTGAAGCTTTATTTTGTTTGCTGCTGTTATCTCTTTTTTTCTTTTGTTTATATTCATACTTCGTTCTTCTTACCTCTTAACTCGATCGGCACCGGACCCTATTTTGATATATATCCACTGCGGCATTGATTGCAAATGCATTTGCAAACATATTTACATCTCAATGGTGGTTGATGCTTTGTATTTGTTTGCTTGTTTGCTTTTCGCTTGCATACAGAGCTACCTGCTAGACACACAAGTGCCTGCAGCAGGAGAAGAAGAAGAAAAAGAATACCAGCAGCTTGCAGCAGTTGAGAAAAGCCTAGAAGAAAGACGACTTAAAGAAAAAGCCTTGATTATTCTGCCGGCACAACGCACAGGCGTTGAATTAAAGAACGTAGAAATCCGCTACCGTACATACACCCCAGAAGATAGGGGGGCCTTCCGAAAAGAGCAGCAAACACCTCTAGACGCATCACAGCAGCAAAAGATAACTGCAAAGGCTGCTCCAATTACAGAAGGCAATCAAATAGCTAGAGATTTGGAGGCCAACGAACCAGCAGCAGCAACAGCAGCAACAACAGCAGCAGCACGTCGCCCTGCTTTTCTCCTCCAGCCGAGCATAATTGACTTCTCTGCTCACGTAAAACCCGGAGAAAGAATTGGAATCGTCGGACGCACAGGAGCCGGTGGGTTGTCTTCTTAAGGTGTATAGGCAGCTTGGGGTGTATGTGCAGCTTTTTTTGAGTGCGTTTATTAGAAAGCTGTAGCGTTATTAGGAGGTTATTATTGAATATCCAAAGGATTTTTAGGAAGAAAATAAAATATTTTGATTTCCCCCCTCTTATTTCTGTTTGTGCGTCGATACACCTCAGGGAAGTCTACTTTATTGCAGGCGTTGTTCGGGCTTCTTCCCTGTCATAAGGGAGATATATTGATAGACGGGGTTTCAATGAAGCAAATGCCGAGAAATATAATAAAACAAATCGTAGGGACACTCCCCCAACGCTCTCTCGTCTTTAAAGGCTGGACAATACGAAATGTCGCAGACCCAACTGTGAGGCCTCCCCGTACACTCCTAACGAAAACAAATAAATATTTACAGCTATTTTAATGTGTATGTGTATGGATAATCTGCAGATATTATATATATATATATATATACAAGAATATATTGTCATATGCATATATGTATATATATACGCATATGAATGAATATATATATATA